TGCTAAGCAAGAAGTGTGAATTAGGCGGTATAGCGATACCAGACTTCAAACTATACTACAGAGCAATAGTAACAAAAACAGCATGGTACTGGTACCAAAACAGGCGTGTGGACCAATGGTACAGAATAGAGGACACAGAAACCAATCCACAAAACTACAACTATCTTATATTTGATAAAGGGGCTATAAGCATGCAATGGAGGAAGGATAGCATCTTCAACAAATGGTGCTGGGAAAACTGGAAATCCATATGCAACAAAATGAAACTGAATCCCTTTCTCTCGCCATGCACAAAAGTGAATTCAAAATGGATCAAGGAACTTGATATCAAATCAGAGACGCGCCGTCTGATAGAAGAAAAAGTTGGCTACGATCTACAGTCGGTGGGGTCGGGCTCCAAATTCCTCAATAGGACACCCATAGCACAAAAGTTAATAACTAGAATCAACAAATGGGACTTACTCAAACTAAGAAGTTTTTTCTCAGCAAAAGAAACAATAAGAGAGGTAAATAGGGAGCCTACATCCTGGGAACAAATCTTTACTCCTCACACTTCAGATAGAGCCCTAATATCCAGAGTATACAAAGAACTCAAAAAATTAGACAATAAGAGAACAAACAACCCAATCAACAAATGGGCCAAGGACCTGAACAGACACTTCACAGAGGAGGACATACAGTCAATCAACAAGTACATGAAAAAATGCTCAACATCTCTAGCTGTCAGAGAAATGCAAATCAAAACCACCCTAAGATACCATCTCACTCCAGTAAGATTGGCAGCCATTAGGAAGTCAAACAACAACAAGTGCTGGCGAGGATGTGGGGAAAAGGGTACACTTGTACATTGCTGGTGGGACTGCAGATTGGTGCAGCCAATTTGGAAAGCAGTATGGAGATTTCTTGGAAAGCTGGGAATGGAGCCACCATTTGACCCAGCTATTCCCCTTCTTGGTCTATTCCCTAAAGACCTAAAAAGAGCATGCTACAGGGACACTGCTACATCGATGTTCATAGCAGCACAGTTCACAATAGCAAGACTGTGGAACCAACCTAGATGCCCTTCAATAGACGAATGGATAAAAAAAATGTGGCATTTATACACAATGGAGTATTACTCTGCATTAAAAAATGACAAAATCATAGAATTTACAGGGAAATGGATGGCATTAGAGCAGATTATGCTAAGTGAAGCTAGCCAATCCCTAAAAAACAAATGCCAAATGTCTTCTTTGATATAAGGAAAGTAACTAAGAACAGAGTAGGGACGAAGAACAGGAGAAGAAGATTAACATTTAACAGGGATGAGAGGTGGGAGGGAAAGGGAGAGAGAAGGTAAATTGCACGGTAATGGAAGGAGACCCTCAGGGTTATACAGTGGAGGGGGTAGAGAGAGAGGAGGGGAGGGGAGGGGAGAGGTGGGGAGGGGGGAGGGTGGATGATGGGAAAGGCAGCGGAGCACAACAGACACTAGTATGGCAATTTGTAAATCAATGGATGTGTAACTGATGTGAATCTGCAATCTGTGTATGGGGTGAAGGTGGGAGTTCATAACTCACTAGAATCAAAGTGTGGAATATGATATGTCAAGAAATTTGTAATGTTTTGAACAACCCACAATAAAAAATTAAAAAAAAAAAAAAAATGTATTCTTGTGGACTGTGGTTGCAGCTCAGTTGTAGAGCACTTGTCTAGCATATGTGAGGCACTGGGTTTGATTCTCAGCACCACATAAAATAAATATATAAATAAAATAAAGGCATTGTGTCCATTCACAACTAAAAAAAAAGTATTGTTTTAATTTTAAAGTTTTTAATTTTATCTATTTTTCTTCTATAATACAACTTGAAATTATTGAAATTAAAATCTCTACATTATAGGTTATATATGTATATATATATATATATATATATAAATAAATTATATTTGTTTATAAGTGTAAATTATATATATATTTCTAATATTTTCTTGATTTTAAACATTTTAGCAGCAGCAACAACATGATTCTTATTTCTCTTAAATTACTGAATAAGATGTTTAAATCTACAATAGAGATATAATAGCGTGTCTCTAATTCACAGTGTTTTGAAGAATAAATCAGGTAATGCATATGTGTTGCTTAGCACAAGGCATGGGGTAATGTTAATAAATTTTAGATATTATTATCAACTACTGTCCCATGATATTTATTTCCTCTCAAACATTTGTCCCCTTTTGAAGGAGACAAAATCTGATCTGATCTATATGAAAGAGGAATGTGATATAAAAAGAGACACAAAAAATGGCTTGTTTTTGAAGAAGCTGCCAATAAAACACATATTCATTGCTTGAGGTTCTGTTGTTACTAAAGTGGTTTATTCCCTGTTATATATTTTTCAAACCATAGTTGGTATGATATTTAGGCCACATAGGAAGCAATAGCAAGCAGAATCAAATTTCCGAATTGCTGTTTTTGTTCTATTTAATTATGAAGTAACCTTGAGGGTAGAAAGGCTTATTCTGCTAATATGATAGACTGGATTCATTAAAATGTGAGCAGAGAGGCAGATTTGGCATTGACATCTATCCACATGTGTCTGTGTGTGTGTGCAAGCGCACACACACGCACACACACACACAACTCTAAAGATATGAAGCAATATAATGGAAAGTGCATTCTGTGCTGATTGATTTGTAAATACCACTGTAGTGTTTCCCAGAACAAGCCAGTAATGCCAAGCCAGAAAGTTGGCCCTGGAAAATATGTACAATCACAACTATAAGAAAAATAACTTAGCTCTAATTGTCCAAGTTTCTTTGAGTGTCTTCTAAATAGCTTTTCTATAAGATGTAAAAAGATCTATAGAACAAAATCACTCACTTTTATCATTGTATAGTGCTGGGAGCCATTAGCCAAGTAGGTATGACAATTTCCTTGCCAGCGTACCCCATGTTGCAGTGACATTGAATGTACGTGACCTTGCTCAAGGACCAAGGCAGATTAGGGTGTTCCCGGTTTTAAGATAATCGTGTTTAGGGCGTTCCCAGTTTAGGTTCCAGGTTTAAGGTTTAAGATTATTCCTGCTGGGAATAGGGCATATCCTGCTGCCTGAGTTCCCCTTGAGTTCTCACGGGACTCAGACAGTATATTTTGGAGATAGAAGCCCAGTGGAGGGGGATTTGGGCAGAGAACGTGGATTTCCCCAGAACGTGATTGTAGACGGCTGGTGTGAGTTCGGGAATAAAGAGTTGCTGTTTGAATCTACAAGCTGTGTGGTGGCTCGTGATTGTGTGCCCAGCCAGACTGCGGCATTTGTGCCCAGCCAGACTGCGGCAGTATAGAACTTTAAAGATCAATGTTTTCCACATTTTATTCAAATATCTTTTGCTATATGGTACAACTTTTTTTTTTCTTGACCACTTTTTACTTTATAACACATGTAACATTGCTTTATTTATTGAAAGTTTTTCAAGGGAGAAGATGAGGGAAAGAAAGGATAACAAGATGCAGAAGAGTTTGGGCTCTCTAAATGTCTTCAACTAGAGCCATACTTTTAATTTTTTTTCCTTATTTTTTGCTTCTGCTACAGATTTTCTTGAACATAGGTTTCTGAGAAAAATAAATCCTCAAAACCTATTGTATAAAGCAACTTTATAAAAATAGTAATGCTGAATGTAAAGGGAAATTGCAATTTTTACAATAAATACATGACACATATATAACTGTACTTAAAAACATATATGGCATAAATTGCTATATATATATATTAGATTTTTTATTATTAAAATATGCAATCTGTGCTATATTTTCATTCATAATTGTATCCATGTGATGCATATATACAGATACATTATTATAAATAGTAATCACAGAAAGTCCACATTGAGCCCAAATTCTTTACTTTCTGTGATCAAACTACTTTCTAAGGTTATGATCTCATCCAGTTATGAAGGGTTCTCCCCATTCTATAAAACATCTAGTGTTACTTATAATGCTTCACCTTATTTTCCAGTCATGATGAGAAGAAAGTACAAAGAGTTTACTCGGGGAATAATGTCATTTTGATATTATTACTAGTAACATCAAATTATAAAGTTAGGACAATGATGAGCCTAGCCAGGCCATTATGAACCTATGTGATCCATCACTTCTGTTTACTAACCTATTACCTGAATGTTTGCCACTAATGGTTTAAGTATTAGCAGTTTATGAATTTATTTTTAAAATGAAAAGTATCAAAGCCAATATTTCTGGATTCCTAAGAGATAATTATTTTTCATGTTTCATTATTTGGTTACTTTGCTTTTGTCCTTGCCATTTATTAAAATGCAACTTTTAATTTTCCTTTATCCTTAAAATCTCTCAACATGTCATTTTCTTTAAAATATGTCTCCAAAATTTTGAGTCCTAAGGTGTCTATATATTTTTGGTAGACCTATGTGCTCCAAGTCTTTTTAAAGTGTGTCTTGTCTTATTATCTTTGCTCTTTTTCTTGGCATTTTCACTTCCTATACTTGTAACAGGGAAATGGCAACCTTAGGAACTGAGAAAACCTAGTAAATGAATGGGAATGGAATGGGAAAGTATACTTTTTAACGTTGATTCATGAAAGTAAGTACAGTTTTTTGTGAACTGTGTTTTAAAGGTTATGAAATATTGAAACTTGAAAATACTAAGATTTTTTTTATATATTACAACTTTTTCTTTCATTTTCATCCAGGACTTTTATATCTTTTCGCTCTACACTCTCTATGCCCACTAACTTCACTAATTTCCATAGTTGTGTTCCACTTCTCATCCTTTTATATTATATTAAAACAACTTGAACCCACGTTTAACTTTATTCTAATATTTCAAATTATGCTTTCTTTAGAGTGGCATAAATGACATTTTAGCAACTTGAATAAATGGAAGTGGGTTGCTTAAATTATATTTCATCCTGTGAGCTACACCACAAACATGTGAACAACAAAACACAAGCCATTCCATACTATTATAAAAGGGAATTAATTTTCCTTACTTCTATTTCTACAGATTCATGGAGCTTCTTGCAGGTGGCTGAGAAAGTTTCAGATGTGCCAAACTCAAAATACCAAAATTTGTTCTTCATTCTGAAAAAAAAAAAGAAGAAGAAAAAGAAAGAAGCAGCTCAGACAATTATAAATAACAGAAAAGTTGTTTTTTTTTTTTAATGGCCTAATTTTGTCTTGCAATACAAGTAATAAAAAAGGTTTGAAACATATAACATCCAAAATGTAATAAATGATCACATAATTTTCAAAGCTTAAATGTTGGTGTCAAATTGTGTGATAGTCCCTTAGGGGATTACAGGAATGGGTTGATCTGACAGATTCACATATATCTTTAACTTTTCTAACTATTGGTTGATTAGATTTCTAAAAATGTTTTAGTGCTTATGGTTTTCTGTTTTAGGTAACTTGATTTAGGAACTAACCATTCTGTAATCATAAAGAGAAACAAACATTTTCCCATTTCATGTGAAAAGATAAAGTGTAAGCATGCTGCATGGGCATGGTTATGAATTCACTAGAAATAGGCATGAAGAGATAGCATATTATTAAGAAAAATAATGGTGATCCATAAAGCTAATATTTAGTAATTTAGAGATAGCCATTAATTTTTAAGACATCATTCTTTCTCATATTTCAGTAGCAGGATAAAACAAGGAAGAAATAATAATATCAATATAACAAAAGTTGCAAAGAAAATATAGTTTAAAATATTTCAGTATTTAATCTTTTTTTTAGGTATTTAATCTTAATGTAATATCATACAATTTTTCCTCCCATGACCCAATGATATTCTCTTTAGCTCTTTGCTCACTTAATGTAAGTTTACAAAGTTGACTATATTTTTATACTATCCATATTGTACTTAAAAATTCATTCTTATAAAAAAATAGACAGTTTTGAATTATACATATTTCTGATATGGTGTCCTGCCCTCAATTAGAAAAAAATGCAGGTAAATTGACATACACATCTTCACATACAAAATCAAAACAGAAACTTCTGTTTAGTATTTGAATATCTCTCACATCAAACTATTTTGTGTGACCTATAAATATCGATATCTGTCTCTTCCATTAGAATGCAAAATGTTTTGATAATTAAAAAGATATTTGGCAAGGGAGTTTTGTACTTGATTCAGTGCTGTTATTGGTTAGGAAAATGGTGTGAAATCCAATAGAGTGGTTAGTAATCTACTGTTAAGTAGAGTTTATGACATGAAATTATAAACTATAAAAGTAATTTTACTTATCTACACATATTCAATAATATCTAGGTTTATACTAGGTTTTATTTCCATACAAAATTTTCACAAGCCCTTCTTGTATCAGCCACATTCAGGTCAGTAATCTGAAGATGAAAACAGGTTTCAGATTTCATTGGATTCTGTTACCATGAATCATTATTATTTTCCAGATAATATTTTTCTTATTTAAAGCCTGATTGTGTACAATAGATATGCATTTATAAGTTGACATACTTGCTGAAGTCATGTAAAATTAAAAACATTTTCCATTGATTTATCATTGTGATAAAAATGGACATAATTTTATAAGTTAAGAAGAAATTGTTGGTCTGAGATGGTCTCAAGACATTTTTAGTGGTTGTTCTAATTATAACATTTTTGTGTTTATCTTTTCTCTAGATCTTCATTTGTTCATTCATGAGAACATTCACTTCCATATGCTTTAGTGTCAAGTTATAAAGATACACATAAAAATGCAATTATTTTTTGTTCTCAGTGAATGAAGAATGAGGTAAGATTATAGGCATATAAGATAATATTTAAAAAAATAATTAGTTAAATGAATATGTGCAAAAAATAATGTGAGCACACTTTGATCATTCAACTAATTTTGCTTTAGGGAATACAAAAAAAATCTTTAAAGGAAAAAGTTATGTTTTAATGGATAAGTTAGTAGAAAGCAAATAGAGAAGGAAGGAAGAAAGAGGTAAGTGTCATATCAGTGCAGTATGATGTGAGAGTATGCTGAGTATGGATGGACAAGTGCAGTGAGGTGTGTCTCAGAACACGTATGCCACAGAAAAAGGTTAGATTTGATCTTGTATATTAATAAGATGAATAAGAGGCTGACAAGTTTATTAGCATTGGACTGACATGGCCAGCTTTATTTTATAGATAAATACATCTAGTAGAAAAGAAGAAGTGGTCTGGAATGTTGAAATGCTGTTGTTGTTGACAGAAACGTGGCTATTGGAATAATCCAAATGAAATATCATAGGAGGCCTAAACTAAGTGACAAGGGAAATGGAGAAGAGAGTCTCAATTCAATAGACGTAAATGAGGTAGAATCAATAAGAACTGGTAATATTGGGTTACACTTAGATTTATGCCATACCTAGGTTATCTCTGAATGTACTTATGGGAATAACAGAGTATTTCTCTGGAATAAAAAGAGCCATGGGTTCATATTTTGACAGGTTCTATGATCTAATGTATATTGTGTTACAGTTGGAAATTAAATATACAGGCTTTCAGGTGCATAGAAATGATTATACCCTATATTTTCCATTCTGCCTATCAAAATTCATCATAGTTCAATTTAGGGCAATGTGGGACTTTGATCTGCTAACCAAGATTTACTCACTTTAACAAATACATCAGAAGAAATAGAAATTTTGAGAATTTACATTCTGCCTTTATTCACAATATTAGTTAGCATTACTGCTCATGTGCAAAAGCTACTTTAAATTCTCCATTATTACAACCATTTTATGTTTCACTTAGATAAATATATAGAGGTAATAAAAAGCACATAGAGTCAGATTCCACATGACAAATTAAAGGCTGTTAAATTTTATTTTTTCAACCAAACCGGTCTTTAGGTTGTAGAAATGCAAAAAAAGGCCATTTAAGCATGTATGCTGTCTATTTTTATGACTCACATTATAAAATGATCCAAATAATTCAAACTCAAATTTGTCAGAGAAAACAAATGTGGACTTTAAGAATGCGGTAAATGGGCATTAACCCATTGTGAAATGGTCACACCAAAATGAAATTCATTGTTTTCATGGGCAGGTTTTATGACTTCAATTTATGACAAATGCCCCAAAAAGTACCAAAAAAGTTATCCATGCAATTATAATTTAATTGACATATTAAATCCTGTTCAATGAATTGAATTGTAAACCTACAGGTTCCAGTTTAATATTCAGAGTGCTTGGCTAGCAGATGTTCATGTTAAGATGAAAAAATTAGCTCCCATTTCCAGGCATTTTGTTACTAATTTTACTTCTATTTTATATCCTCAGAGAAATGTGAACTATCAGAGATTTTCCTCAAGCAAAATCATTTTTGTCATTATAAAATTTAGTTAATATTTAGTTCTACAAGTTTTTAACTTTCAAATAGAAAATTTGATTTCTAGCTATATATATATTAATATTATTTTTCCTTTGAACTTTTCTTTCTTGTTCATTGCTTTTTGTTTCAGCTTTCATCTGTTTGGTAACAACAATGCCACAAACATAAAGCAGAACATTAAGTCCCAGTGCTTTTCTCAAAAGAATACAAAAGAACTTAATTATATATGAATCTCATTTCTAACAAAGATGCATCATGAAGAGGGAGATGCCATTACTTATTTATTTTATGTAGCAAGCTCTATGTCATAAACACACAGAAGTTTTTAATTCAGTGAAATTACTCTTAAAGGTCATCTTTTTATCTTACAGAGGTTTTTAAGTTATTTTTATGTATTTATGGGGATATAGAAGATACAAGCCGATCATTTTTTTTTATTTTATTTTTTATTTTTTTAATTTTTTATTGTGGGTTGTTCAAAACATTACAAATTTCTTGACATATCATATTCCACACTTTGATTCAAGTGGGTTATGAACTCCCACCTTCACCCCATACACAGATTGCAGATTCACATCAGTTACACATCCATTGATTTACAAATTGCCATACTAGTGTCTGTTGTGCTCCGCTGCAAGCCGATCATTTAACATGTATGAAACTGAAAAGTCTTCTGTAAGACATCTTCATCCCTTTTCAAGTATCCTGAACTCAGTGATTCTAACTAAATTGCATGGATAACATACTCAACAAATGAAAAAAAATGAATCCTTTTTGATTTTTGGTTTTCAAATGAAAGCAAAATCATAATGTCCTAGGTAAAAACCAATAAATATTTTACTTATTAAGGATGTTTCAAAATCCTATCTTTTTCATTGTTTTTGTTTTACTTTTGTCTTATTACTATCATATTTCAATAGTCACTTCAAAACTGGGAATAATTTTCTAATGGTAAGTCTTAATCTTAACAATTTGATGGCATAGCTTTGAAGCATAGTAGGGATTTGGTTTTGACTAACATTGCTGGTGTTGGGACTTGCAGTAATGTCAACTTATTGTAACAGTGTTTTTCAAAATGATATATTTATGTCATAGAATCAGTTCAGTTTTATTCATTTTTCATTGCCAAGAAATATTACACTAAACATTAGTTGTAGAACTACTCATTTATTCCTAAATGTAGTGAAATATTACTTTTAAAAATAAATTACTTTTATTTTTACAAGGAAAATAGAAGAGCTCCTGGGGGAACTGATTTTACCAGTGAAAAAGCAGTGTTGGAAAGGTGCAACTCATCTAAGGAAAAGCACTTGCAAAGTAGCTGTGAAAAGCAGAATGCTTGCAGGGCCATGGAGCCCTGTCAGTGCAAGGTCAGTCCAGGAGTAATGAAGGGGCATGTTGTAGCTTATGTTTTTCATCACTTTGTGAAGTCTCCTGGGCAAACAAATGTCATCTGTAGAGACTAACGTAATAGGTATTTGTTAACAAGAAGGACCTGACCCAACTCAGATAAATTTACCAATTTAATTATTTCTTTTGATTGGCAACTACAAAAATCACAAATAAATAGTTATGAATAAAGTTGTTCTAAGTACAAAATGATGGAATGAATGGGAACTTCTACTCAAATTTATTTTTAAAAATAGCATCAAATATTTAAGTATATAGGTGTTACATATATGATTGCAGAAAAGTGAGACTACAACATAATGAGAGCAACCAAGAAATCATCCATGTGAATGTGCCAGGGAGG